GGAACAGCAACAGCAGGCAGGACAGCAGCAAGGGACAAAGCAACCCCAGCAGCTCCGACCAGTTCGGCAGCAGCAGCAGCAAGGGCAGCAGCAGCGGCAGCAAAGAGCAAGGACACTGTAGAAACAGCAGCAAAAGCAGCAGCAGCAGTGAATGGCAAAATCAGCAGCAGCAGCAGCAGCAGCAAAAGCGAAGCTGCAGGCTCTGCAGAACGTAGCGCTGCAGCATCTTCAGCGAAAAAACAACAGCAACAAGTGCAGCAGCAGCAACTGCAGCAGCAGCAACCGCAGCAGCAGCAGGAGAAATTGCGGCAGCAAACGCTCCTTCAACAATAACCGCAAAAAAAAAGCAATAACAGGAGGAAATGCAGGAGCAGCAGCAGCTCCTGCAGCAGCAAGCGCAGCAGCAGAAAGAACTGCAGCTGCAGCAGAAGCAGCAGGAGCAGCGGCAACAGCGAAAGACTCCTCAGGGGACATGGCAGCAGCAGCAGCAGCTCCAACCCTAAACCCTAAACCCTAAACCCCAAGAAGCAATCCAGCTACTCATTTATATTTTATTTATTTTTAAAAACAGCAAAATAAAAGCAAAAGGGACCCCCGAGGACTGGGGGGCCCCCCAATCTATCTTGGGGGCCCCCCAAGGTGCTTGTGGGGCCCCCAGGGCATTTTTGGGGCCCCCAGAGTTCCACTAGGGGCCCCTAATCTGTACCCGGGGCCCCCAAAGCTGCTACTGGGGCCCCCAGCCTACTTTATGGGGCCCCCAAAGTTGCTTTTGGGGCCCCCAGCCCCTTTTGGGGGTCCCGAAGAGCTCTCTTTGGGGGCCCCCTTTGGGGGTCCCCTGGCCCCAAAGGGGGCCCCGTGTGGGGGCCCCCTTTGGGGCCCCCCTTTTGAGGCCCCAACTTTGGGGTCCCCCTTTTGGGGGCCCCCTTTGGGGCCCCCCTTTCGGGGCCTCTTTTTGCGGGCTCTCTTTGGGGGCCCCCTTTGGTTCTCCACTTTTGGGGTACTTCCTTTGGGAGTCCCCTTTTGGGGCCCCCTTTGGGGCCCCGGGCCTCTTTTTGGGGTCCCTAAAGCTGCCGGGGGGGGCCCCCAAGCTGTATGTAGGGCCCCCGAAGCTGCCTTTGGGGGCCCCCTTTGGGGGCCCCCTTTGGGAGGCCCCTTT